GGAACGTTGTGTAGAACGAAAACTAATTGAGTGATAATATTCGCAATTTTTTTTTCTCTCTCTTTAGTTTTCATCTTGTAATTTTCTCTTGTGAATTAACAGAAATTATGCATAAAATATTACATAATATGCTGTCATTACCTTCCTACTACAGCCTGAAGTCAGCCATGTAGCTCAAAGTGCGTTTACTATCCGCTTTTGCTCAAAATTGTATATTGTAAAACATGAACTTTGCTTTTCTCTTTAAGCTTTTATAATTAGGCCTATTCTATGATAAAAGATACGGTAATTATTCTGAAAACTTACCTGGCAGATCAGGATGATACCAGTATTAATGGCTTCTCAGCCTCTCCTACTTTTTATGTGTTGGAGTATTTATGCACAAATCCCCTCGATAATTCACAAAGTTGGTCTCAATAGTTAGGGAGAGCATGAAGGTTACCAGGGAGACTGGGGTGAAATTTGGAGGAAATATTATATGTATATCTATATACCTCAACCCCTTCTTTGTAATGGAGTGTATGACTGATATGAGGGGTGGTTAAGGCAAGACAGATTCTTGGACAGAGAGTATACTAACCCGTGGTCAGTCCAGTCTTTGTAAGGAGTGAATCAAGTAATGACACTGAAATTTTAGCTTTCTCTAATTTTCATGTCAATTATTATGGGACTTGGTATGAAATGTATTTGATAGTGAATGTCAAGGAGGCCAGGAACACTAGTAATGCAAGGATGATGATATGGTTATGCAATAGATATACCTGCTAGTCAGTACCTCTCCCAACCTGTCCTCTATACTAACCCACTCAGTCTGGATGATGTCTAATTATGTCACTGTGAATGGGGCCGAAGTGGCTCAGTATGAGACAGAAAATTTGTTGTAAATTGGCATAGCTTTGGATATTCTACATATTTGGGGTTTAGTATGCTAATAAAATCTTGATACTTTATACTTGTGCTGTAACAAAACTGGCAATACTTAGAGCATGCATTATGTAATCAGAAACATATTTCATGTCAGGATTTCTGCCAAGAGGGCAAAAGGGTAGTATTCCTTTTTTTTTAAGAGTAGATATATCCATAAAATCATGATTTATTTTCTCTGTAACATTCAGAAATTTAAGTATTGAATCATTTATAGATTGAATATCGAACTATTTTTTCCAAGTCATAAATCAATTCATTCCCTACATACATGGCTCTAAACATTCTACTCAGATAATGAGAAAGGAATTTAAGATAAGCAGCTTTGGAATATTACTCTATTGCTCTTTCAGAAAATGATAATTACAGAATACATGCTTTATGTTACAGCTTCTTTCTCCATTTCTAATCCTAGCTTATTCAAAGCTTTTGTCTTAGAATTACTTTTCTGAAGTAGTTATTGTAATTTCATTTTAATTTTAAACAAGTAAAGTCTTCTTCAAGGTCAAAATCATTGTCAGCTTTGATTATTACAACAGAAATATTGGTAATCTTTAGTTATGCATGAGAAGTCAGTGTTGCCGAATCATTAGTACAGTAGATTATTCTTGGTATGGTTATAACTATTGTTGTTCTTGTTGTTTTTTTCGTAGATCAAACCTATTTTCAATATAAAATGGAATGGTAGGTCAGTGAACTGGATTTTTCAGTCACTTACTGGGCTTCATAAGCTATGGGGCAGAAAGAGCTTTTAAATGATGTGGTGGCATCCCTGAACACTTATGAAATATCAGCATTTTGTCAGTTTTCATAGATAAAATGCCCTAAAGTTTATATAGAAGTTTCTGTATTTTTTGTAATGTGAGTGTGATGAATTATTAACAGGATTTTTAACATGACCTTTGGAAATGGTTTGTGGAAGAGGAAAGAAGAGGATCTCATATTTATTCAGTAATACAAGGGAGTATAAAGTAGTTCAGAGGTATGAATCCGTTCCTGACAGGTAAAATTTCTGGTTAATTTTTTGCAGTTTGTCATCCTGGCCACCATGAAAAAGTTACATCATATGATTAGGTGACAGTCAGTGTCTTGGATTTGTAGCCATGACATAATTGGATGTGCCACCTGTCATAATTGGGTTAAGATCTTGTGAAGATTACTCCACTGTGTATCCCTTTTTTAATCAACTGTAGCACTCTCCAACAAAAAAATTGTAGCATTATGAAATTGTTGTTAATCATTTTAATAATAATAATGATTATGTAATTACAGTTCCACAAATTCTTTTAGGTGTGGCCTATTTATTAGTGGAAGGAGGTGTAAAAGATGTAGATGTCATACAAGCAGCATTACTCCATGACACAGTGGAGGATACAGATACAACAAATGAAGAACTTGTCCAAGAATTTGGTCCAGAAGTAGCTGGTATTGTGGCAGAAGTGAGTGCAGGACATATTCCAAGGAATGAACATGAATGCTTCACATGAAGTGTGTCTAACTTCATTTCATATTTGTTGTGTGTATTAGCTAACAGGGGTTTAAGTTCAGTTAAGTTTGTTACTCCAATCAGTGATTTATTAGCTTAGCCTCTGTTTGTACCAGTAAACCTAAACTTGTCTTTTAAATGTTTCCTCCACTTGATGTTAAACAAATTTCTGTAAATTTGCCCTTTCATATAATTTTGAGTAAGTTTTGACTTTGGTATGTTCAGTAATACTTTCCCTCAGTGAGTGTATTACATGACTTAAGGATATTTATTAGTTTTTATTTATTTATTTATTTTTACAGGTAACAGATGACAAAAATCTTGATAAACAAGAAAGAAAGAGACTGCAGATAGTACATGCTGCTGTAGCTTCACCCAAAGCTAAACTAGTCAAACTTGCAGACAAGTTGTACAATTTACGTGACTTGGATCGCACAACTCCCTCGGGCTGGACCCAAGAGAGAGTGCAAGAGTACTTCCATTGGGCCTCACAAGTTGTTGCAGGCTGCAGAGGAAACAATGCTTTCCTTGAGGGTGAACTGGACAAGTTATTTATAAAGTGGAATGTTAATGTATAATTAGAAGTGGGAATTTAACATTTGTTTTTTGAAATCCTGTGTACTTATATATTTTATACGTGTTGAGAAATGGATTGAATATTTACAAAATTGCGTGGTCATGTGCAACTTGAAGAGGCAGGAATGTATTTAATACTGCTAAGTCTACATTATGTTTTACATAGGAGTTATTTACTGAGAAAACATTTTTACTGTTGTTCTTCTCTGGTTCAGAAATAAAATATATGTTAATAGCCAAGAAATACAGTACAAAACCTTTTATTCTTCTCCATTGTTTACATGAAAAATAAAGATAATGTTTCAAGAATATTTTCTTTAACCCAACCACCACAGATTTATGTTCTATCCCCTGTAGTTTGTTGTGAATTTTGTTACATACAGATGGCTCCACATGTGCATTTCTCTAGTGCTATATGACCTTTGATGTCTAGCACATTTATTTTGCTTTGTAATCATTAGGCATTGACTAGAATATTAGTAGTTATAAATCTCATTAGCATCCACATTAAATTAATAGATGAAAATTAACCATGTGTTCTAGACAAAGAAATGACATTACCTGCTACCTAATACTTTGCTTTAGTATACTCATATAATCCTGAAGTATGCCTGATATCTTCCTTGTGCGCCGACATTTGGTATGTGACAGAACCATCATGGGTAAAGTTATGCCATTTTCATTCTTATTTCTGAGGGTATTCTACCCTGGCTCATAAAACTCAATAAAACTTTTTTTGTGTGTGTGTGTGTGTGTGTGTGTGTGTGTGTGTGTGTGTGTGTGTGTGTGTGTGTGTGTGTGTGTGTGTGTGTGTGTGTGTGTGTGTGTGTGTGTGTGTTTGTTTCAAAGAGAGACCTGGAAAGTATTTTTGGGGTACTGAATATCACATTGTTTCTTTCATGCTCTAACATTAAAAAATGAAGTCAGTAATGCACAGAAAGAGGTTCTTTTGTTTGCATGCCTAAGTGCGTGTGTGTGTGTTACAGAGAGAGTAAATGTAAATTTTAGGTGCTGAATGAGAAATTAGTTTCACTCTAGGGGTGCCGCAGTTTCTTGCCTTCATCATGCAAAGAAACAGGTTCTTATAGATGAGTCAGCACAAGTGCCAAGACTACAGTTATATTAGCTTTCTAAACCAAAAAAGTCTTTTTTTGACTTCTGTCAAAAGATTAATGTGACTGTGGGCTCACCCATTCATCTACCTATCTATAGATATATATTATATTTAAAACTAAGAAAAAGAAGAAACAAGAATATCATAAGACACTTTGGATAATGAACATTTCATTGTGACTCGTAACTTAATATTGGCACCAGGTATTAGTACTGTCCAGTTTTGTTTAGCTGATTTTGTTTACACAGATAATGCAAGCTCCTAATCACCCAGGAAGCTTTTGCTAGGCCTGTCTGATCTCATCTGCTTATCCCATTTCTTGAAGTATTGGGAAAAATGTTTTTATTTCTATTACTATCATTATTATTATCATCGTTACTGTAAAAATATTAACAATAGTAAAAGTAATTAAAAACAGACTTTTTTCCCAAAAGTTCAAAGAAAGGGGTAAATAGAAGATAAAGTAGGCCTACCATTTGACTTCATCGTTACTTTGTGCTTATGTAGCTATCTATATATAAACAAAACTAATAATATAAAACCAAAGTGAAGAATACCCATTATATGGACTCCCAGCATCAGTGGGTAAACCCTTTTATTATCAGCCCCCTAGGTAATTGGTCATTGCCTTCCTGCCTCCCTTCCTTTACATCTCTAACCTAATGATTAAAGACCTTTCCTGACTGAAAAGGAAAAGCCCAAGTAAAGGGGCAAAAAAACAAAGTCTATATAAACAACTCATATATAAAGGAACAAATGTAAGGAGAGAATATTTTTCCCTCGGGGCTCATTATGTTCCCTGGTTAAAAAACATTTTTTTAGGTTGAGTAATAGTATTCCCATTAGCTTTCAAATGACTGATAATATTCAAAAGCAATTTGGTGAAAATAAAACACAGTATAAAGATAATAGTTCTCTTAATCTTTAATTACAATAAAAATAACTTAAGGAAAATATCAAATATTCATATTGATAACGAATATATTAATACATCCTAAAATAAAAGTCATAAAACATTTTCTGTAAAGAAAAGACAGATGGCAACAGATATACAGAGTTTTAGAACATTTTGGAAGAAAATTGAGACCTGACTAAAATTAGAAATGTTCCTCTTTGTACTTGACTTTTTAGAAAGTAACCTCACCTTGTTTTAAGAAAACACTGTAACATTAAAGATCCTTATTCTTTTGAGAGGTGGAGTAAGTTACAGGAACTTTCTATCACCAGAAGAAAATCTGTCATTTAAGTGTCGAGCTTTCTTTAAGATCTTTTCTTTCTGGACATCATCAAATTTATTAACATTCATATCTTCCTCTCTGCTGAATGGACGACGCTCCTTCTTCCCATCTTTGGGTTCCATTTCCTGAGAGAAATATCAGCCACATTATACTAATATATTATGTGTTCATTTTTGAAGTCCCATTACTATTTCATGAAAAAGTCATAGTATAAAAGTTCACTAATTTCAAGTCTCTTACCTTCTTTTTCTTCTTGTGCATGTCGATCAAAGGTTCAGCTCTCTTCTTTGAGTTGTAACTCTCCACCATTTCTGATAATTTGTCATCCCTTTTCTTGGCTGCAATGTCTTCTGGAGCATAATCTTTACCATCTTCATCAATTCCCATCTGATAAAAAGTGGCCATAAGTAGAATAAGTTGGAAAAAAAAATTGAATATAAAAAAATGGAAAAAAAAGAAAAAAAGAAAGGCTGGTTATACATCTCCAAAGATTCCAAAGAGATATACATTTCTCTCTTTTTCCCTCCTGATGACTGGTCTTTTATAATTGCAGTAATCTTTGCTTATTGATATAATTAATAGACTGCTTCCTACTACATTCTGTCTTGAAGAAAAATGAAGGACATTTCATACTGCTACATACTAATATGAAGGGATATAAGTAAAGAAACACACTTAAATTAATCTCCAACTAAAGGTCATCAATTAAATATTTGTGATCATTTGTATGGTATAAGAGTGTCATGTAAAAATATACTTTTATTCTTACCTGAGCTTTTCTCTCTTTATCAGCTGGTGTGTCTGTCCAAACTGATCGGTCACCCCTTTCCATGGGTGCTTTTCTTCTAAACTGCCTTGCCTCCAAACCACAAAAGCTTTTTCTGTCTTCAGGAAGCTCTAACATCCAAGATTCTCTTTGCATTGGTTTGTCTTCAACCTGAAAGTTAAAAAGATGTGTCTTTAGGTTTCAGTATACCATATGAATTGATTTAATTTTTGATAAAGCCAAATTTTCAAAAACATTACGCTTGCCAATAGTCTCAGTATATGGTGAGTTATACTTACTTTTCCTTGCAATTTATCCTTCATTTTTTTTGCTCTATACTCAAGCTGTCTTATTCTGTATTCCTCTTCATCTATTTTTTCTGTAGATGGTGTTGGTCCCACAATGAAACCATCCTCTTCGCTCTCACTGCTCTCCTCTTCCTCTGGCACAGGCATTGCTGAAGCAGATGGAACATAACCCTTGGGCAGCGCGGGTCCTAGCACACGCTTCTGGCTTTGGGAGGGTTCTATACCATCCTTCTTCTTCTGTAGCAGGTGTGGTGGTAATGCAGGTCCATACATATCATCCTCATCTCCTGATTCTTCTTCACTGTTTCCTGTGTCTACCTTGGGAGCTTTGTTGTGGCTGTCCTCACTCTCGTCTCCTTTTCTCTTTGATGTGTTTTTCTGTATGTGGGATGGTAGGGCTGGGCCATATGCATCCTCCTCCTCACTGTCTTCAGTGGCTTCCTTCTTCGTTGCAGATTTCACCATGTGAGGAGGTAGGGCTGGCATGAAAGAGTCATCATCTTCTTCAGTTTTACTGGACCTAGACTTCCCTGATGCTGAAAATATGTATTTGTCAGAACATTGATTGATTCTGGTCATGTTTGAATAGCAAATTGTTAAAGTAGGATTAAGATAAATCATGAAAAAAATTACTCAAAGTAGCATTTTGTTCTTCAAATAGTTTTATGAACCGTAATATCACATAATCATTCATAATACTACTGAAAAGTAATAAATAAAGTGAAAAATACAAATAATCAAAATAAAAACTGTCAAAAAACAGGAGACAGAAATGAAACAAATAACTATTTTCATGTTTCTCCTGAAGGTGGTATTCAGTTACAATGCATTTTATTATAACAGTTGTAACAATAAGTAAAATTAAATAAATTGAATCATTCAAAATTAACATGAACACAACAAAAAAATCTCTTTAGAAGTTACTTATGCCATGCCAAAAAGACATTATTCATGATAATAACTAATGATTAGATAAAGACACAGTCTCTGAAAAACAGATTCTTCATGTTTTTTTTCTGTATTATGGCACGGGGGCAAAAACTTGTCTATGCAAGTGTCAAAACCTCTCATATTTCTGGCAGGGCCAC